CTGTAGCAGACCCCAACCACTAGATGCCTGATACTGGCTTGTTAGATTTCCTCTAAGTGTTGTAAAGGGCTGGGTAATAATCCTCACTGCATTTCCTGTGATTTGCACAGTGCATCAAAGGTACCATTTAAAGAAAACTGTGCCAAAAAACTTGAAGAATTTGGCCAAAGAGCTGTATAAAAAAGAAGATTAATCTCTGACATAACTTGCGGTTTCACCAGGCGGAGAAGATACTGCTTTTTTTCATTTGAACTTGCTTGTGCACTGCCTAATGTAGATGACGAGTTCCTGACAGATGTGAAAAAAACATGGATTTAAAATCTTAGCAGAGGGATAAAGGAAATAAAGGAGCAGTGTCAGTGCTCTCTCCATTTCCCTTTTAAACACAGATACTTTGCAAGATGAATGCAGGGAAGACTGTCGTGCCAGTAAAAAGACAGAAAACAGTCCTGCAGTCTAGAACCAGAAGAAGGTTATCTCCTATCGGCTTTTTAAATCCATGATCACACATCGATTCATTAATAATGAATAATAATAAACTCATATAATGAATAGTAGTAAACTCAGTCCCAAAAATCATCTTCACTGTGGTAAGGCCCCTTCCTAACCTTAGGGAAGTGCAGTGAGAACAAACCACTCTGCACTCCTGCATCCACTCCAGGCTTCTACTTAATGAGAGGGTTCTTCCCCAGCACAGAATTTGTGTTACAGCACAGCTGTATCCATCCCACCACACCATCTCTGTGAGCAACTGGCACTCACAAGCACCACTGACACTTGTACAATTAATGCATGTTTAGTTATGGGTTTTCCTTTGTGTTACTGTCTATACAAGTGTCCTGCATGTAGAAGGCTCCTGAATGTTTAGAAGGACCTAACTCTGTCAGCTGTAGCTCTTCTGCTTTCTTTTAGCTGCATGGTGGGTAACAATATCTGCAGAATGATCCTTGGTTCTTGTTAATTTGATGTAAAGCATTTTCTGCTGCATTATATTGCTGACTCCCTGTTATTTTTTGCTTCTCAGACGATAGCAGTCTTTTTTTCTTTTTTTTTTTTTTTCAACAGTACAGATAAGTTGTCATAACCATGGTGGTGCCAGCTCTTAAGATTTTATCACAGCTCTCCTAAGATGTTTTCCCTGGAGCTCCAGCTCTTGGTCATGTTGAAATACATAGCAATCTCAGCTAATGTATAACTTAAATGACTTTTGCTTACACAGCTACAGGAGGGAGAAAGCAAAAATATGACCCTCATCATTCCCATGCCAAAAGTAAATATTTATTTGTTCTAAATCTTTGTGACACTTTAATCCACCTTAGTGATGGGAATGGGGAAAGAGGAGTTGATTTAGTCTTTCAGGACTTCCTGTAAGCCTGTTCCTTTGGTATATAGGCAGTACATGCAAGTAAAAGATCCTCGTATATGTTCATAGCAGCTGTAGCAGGTATTGGTAACAGTCATTGGGGAGTCAGTGGAGGATGTGGCAACTGCAGTGTCAAGCAGAGGATGCTCCACAACTTTGGAAATGTTCCTGGGTTCAAGCGAATACTTTCTGCAATAGTATTTGCTGGTATGTGCTCCCAGTGACATGAGCTGAACTGCAACTCTGTGGAAGTGTCTTCTAGAGCAAAGCATTAGGACGTTTCCCAAAGGACCTGCCAAATATTGCTAGATCAGGATCTTAATTTTTTAACGTCAAGATGGGGAATAGTCAAAATCCAAAAGGTACTTGACACTATGTAGTCATGTGTCGTGGTTTAGCACTAGCAAGCCATAAGCCCCATCCAGCCACTTGCTCAGTCCCCCTTGGTGGGATGGGGGCGAGAATCAGAAGGATAAAAGTGAGAAAACTCATAGGTTGAGATAAAGACAGTTTAATAGGTAAAGCAAAAGCTGCACATGCAAGCAAAGCAAACCAAGGAATTAATTCACTACTTCCCATGGCAGGCAGCTTTTCAGACATCTCTAGGACAGCAGGGCTCCATCACACCTAATGGTTACTTGGGAAGACAAACACCATAACTCTGAATGTTCCCTGCTTCCTTCTTCTTCCCCCAGCTTTTATTGCCAAGCCTGACTTCATATGGTATGGAACAGCCCTTTGGTCAGCTGGGGTCTGCTGTCCCAGCTGTGTCCCCTCCCAACTCCTTGTGCACCCCCAGCTTGCTCACTGGTGGGCTGGGTGAGGAGTAGAAAAGGCCTTGACTCTGTGTAAGCACTGCTCAGCAGTTACTAACACATCCCTGGGTTATCAACACTGTTTCCAGCACAAGTCCAAAACATATCCCCATAGCAGCTACTATGGAGAAAATTTACTCTATCCTAGCCAACACCAGCACATCATGTTAAAATAAGTGCAGTATTGTGTCTCAGCACTACAGTGCTCTTTCAGGTTCAGAGCTGTTATATTACTATTCTTTGGCCCAGATGTGGTAAAAATACATAAACATTTTTAACAGCTCGGGTGTATGACACTTGACTGCAGGCTGTGAGGCTTTGTCATAGTGGAAACTTTACAGGCATAGTATAGGTGCAGAGTTTTCAGTGAAATCTGTAGCTCACAGTTCTCTTCAGAGCTTGAATCACAAAAGTACTTAGGCACACGCGTATTGTTTTCAGATGGTTTCTGAGTCCTTCTGGAGTTGCTGAGTTAAGCACCTGTCAGACTCAAGCACACGGTCTTCTGTGTCATGCCTTTGATGCAGGACTCCAGTGCTGGAGTCAGCAGGGACTTTTCCTGAGTAATGGCAGCAGGGTTTGGTCCCTCACCTCTCATTATCTCTTCCTTTCAGGTAGCAAGCTTTTTTTTAAAACCTGTTTGAATAATTATTATTTTTAACCTTTCCTCAACAGGAGTGTTTGCATTTGGACTTTTTGCCACTGACATATTTGTAAATGCTGGCCAGGTTGTGACTGGGAACTTGGCTCCCTACTTCCTGACTGTATGTAAACCCAACTACACTGGAAATGACTGTCGGGCCCATCACCAGTTCATAAACAATGGCAACATCTGCACTGGGGATGTGGAGGTGATTGAAAAGGCAAGGAGATCCTTTCCATCCAAACACGCTGCTTTGAGCATTTACTCAGCTTTATATGCCACGGTGAGTGCCAGTGATGTTTGCTGACTTGCATGAGAGGTTTCTGTTTGTGCACCTAGATGGGGCCATTTTTCTTACAATGAGTTTTTTTTAAAAAAAGAGGACAGTTTTGGGGAGGGCTTTCTTAACTATCTGTAGGGGAAATCCCCTTCTCTCTCTGTTCTAGTATAAGCAAATTAAAAGCTCATTGCTTTTGAGGCACTGTATAATGTGGATGCAGGATGTCCTAACTTTGTCTTTGCTGCTGATTGTCTCAGAGGCCTTTGAGTATGCATTCAACCTGCCCCCTGTCTCATGAACATTAAAATGAAGTTGATGCTTAAACAGCTCGTGGATCACTACTATTTTAATGTTCACATGCCATGGGTTGTTGAACATTCAAAATGTAAATTATGCCATTTCAGTGGGAGGCTGAACTAGGCTGGATTTTACTCCTTTTGATTAGGACCTGTATTCCCTGGGCAAAGAAGGTTGTACTAAAAGTCAGGGCCAGAATTTTGCTATTATAAGAAGTGGGCCTCAGCTGACATCTTGACAAGGTGACACTGCTATACTGGCAGGAAGGAAATTGTCTCCTTTTAAAAGTCTAGTGAAACAGATAGATGCTCCTTTGCATTCTCTGGCTAAAAATTCTGTAATGTTTGAAAATTGATCCAAGAAGCTTACTCACAAAGTAGAAAATCTTGGTGGTTTTGCCATTAAGATCCAAGGACTTAACCTGGTTCTGATCTCAAAATGGCTTAACTAGGTCTTTTTTTCTCCTAGTAGCTTGACTCAAATGAGTGGCAGAGTCTGTCTGTAGGTCATCAGGATTTGAGAAAAGCCTTGAACTTACTAATGAGAGGTATTCACTGAATATTTTACCCTGATCTTGGTAGTGGATTAATAAAACATCACATTATTATTACAAAATTAAGAGGCCACCCACTGCTGTTTGAGTACCCATCTGTTTGCATTGAGTGTTGCGTGAATAATGATGGAGATATAAATTGGTAACTCCTTTAATAAGGATTTGTTGGGAAATGTTTGGAAAGCCCATAACAGTTTGCACACATTACTTCTGAACAATAAGCACCATGAAATAGTTCCCAATAAACTCAGCATTGTTGTAGCAGCTGTTTTCATCAGGATAAACTGCTAGATGGAAGCTCCAGGTTCAGGGTTGGTCCTGGTTCTGCCCTAAGCTAGTTACATCCTTTCATGGACTTTCACTGCCTAACCTCCCTTTTTTCCTAGGAATGCAAGTCTTCTAGAAACAGGGTGATATCTACATCAGAAGGGGAATAATGCTTTTCCTTTCTGAGCTTATGTCCCTGTAGTTCAGTGTTTCTGAGCCCTAATCTTTCAAGAGTACCTGTTATGGGCATGTGTGCACTCCTCCCCACTTAGGAAGACACCAGGTGCAGCCAGGACATGGAGTTATCTCTGAGCTGCAAGGCCACTAAAAGCCTGCCCTCAAGGCATTTCAGGCTACAGTCCAGTTTTAGCCCAGTTCTCTGCCTGAAGACATCCTCTCGCACTAAAGGTGTTTCACTTGTCTTTTCTCTGCCTGTCAGCAGGGATTAATGTGAACATTACACAAGAAATGCAGTGTTCAAATCTAGCTTTGATTAATAATTGTGCTGTGCACAATTTTTTGAGCAGTGTGTTGCTGATTCTAATATGTGGGATAATGTGGGCTGCTGAACATAAAAGGCAGGGTATTTGGCTAGTAATAGCTGTATTTGGCATAAAGCTGAAGACTTGAGCCATGGAGCAAGAAAAATAAGTTGAACATAAGGATGCAGGAGAATGGAATCAGCACAGACATTGTCTTTCATCTTACAGATGTCTGTTGAGATCTGGGAGTCTCCTCCAATCACTGAACCTCAAATGTCCTCTGCGGATGTCTCTGTACTGATTTGTTCATTAGTCTGCTAGTGACAGTACTCCCACTGTGATTGGTCTGGCTTTATGTTTTGCTGGGGTTTTTTTATAATCTGGGTTTTATATTTAATCAGCTAGGCTTTTTCTTGTCACCTGCCAAAGAAGCTGAGGAGAAACCAGAGCATCACTTTTGTGATCTTTGCAGGCAGAGATGAATCCTGAATGCCTAAAGTAGGGGAAAGAGAAAACAGCTGCCAGCTCTGGCTTCCATACTTGCACAGAAGTTAGAACAGCACACAATGAAGTTTTATTAGTCTCACAGAAGTGTGGCAGGAAAGGTGGCCACTGTACATAGTACATGCTGCTGTACAGTTAGAAACACATGCTTCTAAGTGCCTTTACCAAGGGAAAATGATAGGCTAGAAATACCACTTAATTCATTAATGCTTGTGACAAAAACCAACTAACAGGTGATATGTTGCATGTGGGTATCCCAGTTACATCATCTTCAGACAACTGTTACTTCATGCACTTCTGAGAAAGGTTGCGGAAGAGTCAATTACAAAGGCATCTAACAGATGGTAGTGTTCAACCAGAACATGGAAAATTAAAGTATTTCACTAGCACAACTGGAGGCCTTCTTATTGTAAAGAGAAGGTAGATATCCTTGCTGATCGTCCTGTTTGCCTCCCGAGTGAAAGCACGGAGAATTGTTTTATAGACACAACAGAGTATCTATGGTTGAAAGATGCAACTTATCACTTACATTGACCGTTCAGTGGTGGGTTTAGGATTCTTCAGCTAAGCTCTTGCTAGCAGATCCACAAGTAATGCTTCCTGTCACCTCCATCTGGCTAGAAGACTCTACCTCATCACACTGGATCATGACCTGGCATCTGTCATTTACACCTGGGTGCATTGCTTCTTGACTAAATTAGAGTGATACAATACCTGGACATGAAACTTCCAACTCTTGTGAAATTCTGAATAGCAGGCAACACACAGCAAATCCCTTCTGTAACCCAGGTCACTGTGACCACACCAACAATTCCTTCCATTTCTGCATTAACATCCTACCAGACTAATCAATAAAATTTAAGGCCTGGGCACTTTGAGCAGCTTCACTGAGCATCTGGGAGACTGCACCGTGTTTTGCAATACACATAATTGTCAAAGCCTCTGCTTCTCTCTTACTGTAGAAATCTCTATGGTAAAGGAAAATATTGTCTGTAAAGCTTGTAGGACACTGAATTTTCCAGTATTGGTATGAAATTGTGAACTTTCCAAGGACAATAAACTGTCACAAATCTCCCCACTTTATGCTAAAAGGACAAGAGAGACTTCCTGCACTCTGCCTTTCTCATCATAGGTATATAATATACATTTAAATATATGTAACCATATATATATGTATATATGTATGTCTATTTTAAACTGGCAAACAAAAAAGCCTCCTTGACTGTATATGCTTTTGTCTGTCTGAAAAAGATGGGGGAGGAATTACACACAGGATGAATGCTACTATCACACATAGCACATTGCTAAATATTCTGCTTGAGTGCACTGATAAGAGCACAGCAAATAAGCTGAATAGGTAACTTATATAGTTAAACATTTGTAGTTTATTTTTTAATATGATTTATTCTATTTTCTTCACATCTTTTTGTATTCACTTCCTTGTTCCCTCTCCCACCCATCAAATAACTGATCTTGACATTTAGGATTTTGTAAATAAATTTACCTTATAAATAGCATTGTGGGAAATTTTCAAAAATAATTGCTGTACGTAGGAAATCAAATGTAAGTGACTTTCACTGAGATTTTGGCCTTACACAAGGCTTTGAAAACATGCTGTAAGTGAAAGGGTAAATACATTGTGAGAATCTTAAAAAAATGTCTTGGCTTAGGGACCAGGACGATAAAGATCAAACGACAGTGATTGGGAAGTCTGACCAGAATGGAGAAGCTCTCCCAGTTGTTTCTGAGTTCAGTGTGAGATTTACGGATGAACTGGAGCGTACCTTATGGGAAAACCGTTTGTCTTGTTTTAAACCCTCCTCATGAGGATTTAACAGATTTCCCTTGGCAATCTGTTCACAGGGTTAATTATCGTCATTGCTAAAAGTGTTCTCTTTACTACAAGTTTACATTTTACTGCTGAGAAATATGAATCTTCAAATACATTAGAAACTTTCCATCTCCCATGTGGGTACACCAGAGATCCAGCTTCCTCTTCTAGCTGTCAGAAAACAAGCATTTGTGGGTTGTTCTCTGTAGCTAGGGTTTGCAGGTGTCACAGCAGGACTGCATCATTTCTTTAAAGAGGTGATGCTTTTCCTTTGGATGCTGTAAGCTACAGTAGTGCTTTGGTGGGGAACAGAACAGCAATCCAGCTCCATATTGCTCATTTGAATTGGCTCCTTCTAAAAGGAATGCATAGGGTGAGAGGATGGGTAGTAATTATTCACACACTTCAGTAGTATTTTTTCCTATTGTTTCCAAAGAACCTCAGCGTGAATTTTGGCGATAGTCAGGTGCAGCTCAACGTAGCAGCAAAGATTAGGGCAAGATTGCCGCCTAGCGCTCAGCTGTCATTTCAAGGCATTTGCTGCAGTCAGGTTATTAGGTTGGAAAAACAAAGCAAGCAGGAGCCTCTCAAGTAGCTTAGTCCCATTCCCAGTGCTATTACACACCATAATGTTCCACTTCAGAAACTGAATTCACCTTTAAATTATGTGCTCAGCAGCACATTTAAGAGCAGACTTCGCTTCCCCAGGCAGAGATCTGGCAAATTCAGCTGTTGGAAGTCTAGTACTCCTGTTTCTTGGCAGGTGACAGTATAATTTTGCCTAGAGGCCCAAAGGCAGACAGATCTGCCTTCCTCTGGTCGGTTTCTCTGGCCTGTCCATCTCCCTTCCAAGAAGTGGTTGCTGCATCCTTTCCTTTCCTCTAGAGTTATGTACTGTAATAAGTTTAGGGCTAATGTTTTTAACACCAGCCAGAGGGGAGAACCCAGCTGTAGGACATTTGATGGCCCAGTCAGGGAGAAGGAAAAAGAAATATGGACAGGGAGAAAGTTAGAGTAAAAAAATATACACAATACAGCAGAATAAAGGAATATATTAAAGGCGATGAACAAAGTGACCTTGAGGACGTAATTTGTGTTTCTTGATTTCAAAACTATATGCCAGACCATAGTGACCTCTGTATATCTGGTTCATGAAGAAAGGGACAGGCATTAAAATACAGTAAAGTAATTGTCCATGGTTGACAAATAGATTATGGAGTACAAAGCAAGCTGTGCTGGTAGTTGCAATAGGAAGCACCAAGCCAAGCCTCCACAGACCTCCTTCAGCACAGGCAAAGGAAAATCCCAAGGAAGTTTCTCCTGAGCTATTGTGGTCTTGGCCAGAGATGGGCAGTGTTAGCCAGCACAGCATCCTTAGCTGCTGCTGCAGCAGCACAGGAGAACCAACTGTCAGATTTTCACCGTGCTGCAGAGCCCTGCTCTGATTACAGTGCCACCAGTGGCAAAGCAGCCAGTAGTGCCCTTCCACAGAAATGAAGTCATCCCAGAGAAAGGTGAGGTTTGTGACCTGCAGACAGCATAGTCAGAGATCCCAGTTGTGGTGTTATTGCAGATGTGATTAAAACAATAAGGATCATCTACAGAGTCATCTGTCAAGAAGTCTAACAGAACCATATTTCCATATCTGACAACTGAAAAAGGGTCAAGAATTAAACTATTTTCAGCTCAGGTGATTTTACTTATTTTTACAACAAGAGAACATATTTTTTCTTTACAAATAAAATGGCATCTTTTGATACTAAACACTGGACAAGACACTTGCATGGTTTTTAATCTTTCCATTCCCAAGAAGAACAGGTGTTTGTATTTTTCACTGGATCAGATCTACGTTGTGTGAATCAGGTTCTGATTGGTGATAAAAATCAAATTAATTATTCAAATATGTCTTCCTGACTCTGTTTCATGTGTGGGAGGCAATGTGTCATCTTAGAGACATTTCTGGCAAATGTATTGGACATATTTGCTTTGCTGTCAAAGCTTTGGAAATCAAGCAGGCATCCGTACTTCCTTGCTGAAAATGATTTTATTGAATTGTTTTGCCATCAGGCTTGCTTTGCTTGATCTTCATCATTTTGCAGCTCTGGAATTAATGACTGGCTGCTAATTGTGACCCACATTGTTTTACTCACTCTGTCAAAATGCGTTTAAAATAAAATACAAACGTGGTGTTCATTAAAAAATACTCAAAGTACAGTGAAACTTCATGCTCTGGAATTACATTTTCAGAATCAACTTTGTTTTGAAAGAAATCTCATATTCTGTGTTTCATTTCATCTTGCATGGAGAATATATGGAATGGTTTAATGTTCTCTGTTAAACTCCACCACCACTTAGGAAACTGGAGCAGCTAGTTTATATAGATGCTAGGCACTCCATCATGTGCACATTGCAGTTTCTGCAGAGTATAAACATAAATTCTTGACTCCCTTTGCAAACATTTACTCGTGCATTCAGAGTGAATGTGTGCTAGTGTATGAGCAAGTACTTGCATAAGCTGGGAAGTCAGTAAAACTGAGCCTGTACATACTAGCTCAGAAAAAGTCCAGTATGTAAATACAGTTGATGGGATATTTGACATCCTGAAACAGCATTTAACAGTATGTGTCTTGTTCCCTTAAAAGTATTCTCTGAATTACTTTAAACCTCTTCCTCCATTTCCCAAGGCTTTTTTTAAGGAATCATGGGTTTGATCACATACTTGCTGATTTTGGATTTCTCTGGGTGGAAAAAGTTGCATTTCTGGCAGAGCTTCTGTTCATTTTTCACTTGCCCTTTGTTTCAGATGTACATCACAAGCACAATAAAAACAAAGAGTAGCAGGTTAGCCAAACCTGTGCTGTGTCTGGGTACCCTGTGTGCTGCGTTCCTCACCGGCCTAAATCGAGTTTCTGAGTATCGAAACCACTGTTCAGACGTGATCGCAGGCTTCATCTTGGGGAGTGCTGTAGCCTTGTTTCTGGTAAGCTCATCATCATTCCTTTTAAGAATACGTCTGTTTAAAAAAAAGAGTTACTATTATCTTGTGGCCTATTGCAGCTGATTGATTTAGTTGCTAAGAACTAATTCTAACCCCATCTAATTAAAGGTATCATCAGAGAAAATCCTACTATGAAATCAGGTTGATACTGAGTAATAAGGCTAATATGATGACATTTGTGCATTGTATCTATTTCAAGATTATTTTGATTACTGTACATGTTCTTACTTGACCTGTCCTGCAAAATGCCTTCAAGATGGTGTAGATTTCAACTAGTATCAAAAAGGAGGCGTGCTTGAGACTTCTTTTACACCCCTGTGTTGCAAAACCTGTCTGCCTGGTATCTGGCAAAAATGTAGGATACAGGGTGTTGTCTGGAGCTCTAAGCAGTGGTCCTCATTCTCCATTTTGTTCAGACCATAAAAGAAGTGCAATAGGACAAACTCCCTGGCAGACAAAACTACCTCCCTTTACAACAGTTGGAGTTGAGCTGAAATTGTTCACCATCTCATTGAAATGTATCAGAGGCCTTCCCACACAATCTAGGAACAGCATCTCTCTGGACTTTGAATGCTGGCTTTGTGGTTTAAGTGTTTTGTTTGGTGAGGGATCTCTTGCTGATAATTTACCCACACAGCAGTCAAGGTGATTCTCACTATTGCCAAGAAATGTGTCTGGTTCAATTTAATCAAAATATGCTTCAAAACTATCTATCTGCTGCATAGCAACAGATACTTTATCCCTGTAATCAGGAGGGATTAGGTTTCAAAGATCCCTTAAATCTGGATTGTACTGTCACTGATTTTTTTTCTATTCTGTACTTTGAAAAACAGAAACAAACCATCACATATCATTTATTCCTGTGTTCCCTTTAAATAAAAAAAATAAAATAAAACCCTCACACCTGAATCTCCTTGGCTTTAATGTAAGTAGTTTGTTTGATGCCCCCTGGGAATGGCAGCTTAAATCTAGCCCATGCAATATAAGAGGCAGTGACCCTGTATATCTGGTCAAGACAATCTATATGCTCCCAGTACGTGTTTCTGGCAGTGACAGCCCGCTCCCAGCCACATTTTGGCCCTGCAGACCTTCTGCCACCCTGCAAATGTCACAAGCTCAGCTGCAGAGTGGTGGAAGGGGTCTCCCTGGAGCTTGGAGGGGAGAGGTGCTGTGAGGTTTCTGCTGCCGGCACAAGACTCACCCAGGCTGCAGCCTGCTCCTTGCTCAGATCTAAAGAGCAGCGAAGAGGAGGAGTCAGCAAGGAGCTGGCTGCAGGAATTACTCTGACAGCAGATGTGTCCGTCAGCTCCTGCATGTCTTTTTTTCCACTGTGTTCCCAAGCCCCAGCCTGCCATGTGTGTGTGCTCTTATTAGCATCATCATGTGGGTGCAGTAGTCGGGGTCATGAACAAAGGAAGGGTTTGTAGGATAAACACCACAGCAGCTGTGCTGGAAATAAGCAGGAATAGTGCTAAATGAGCTTGATGTCATCTGGATGTGAGGTAGATTCAGCCATCCAGTGAGCTGTTTTTGCTGTTTGGAAATGACAGTCAGAGTCTGAAGGGGATTTGGTTTTGGCCGATAAAATGCATCATCAGGGTAGTCCATGGTTCTCTGATGATAAAGCAGACATGAGAGTCTCTGCTGTATAAAACATAAAAAGGCTGATAATGGTTCACCCCTTCAGATTAGAGGCCAGATGAATCAGTTTACCAAGGCAGTTGTCCACACAGCTATGTCAGTAAACACACTGTAGCCCAAGGTGAGATAGATAATGCCTTGAACCAAAACCCATGTTCAGTTATTTGCAAAAACTGGCAGTTGTGAGACACCCAGTGGTAATTCCTATGTATTTTTCCCAGGGACAGAACATGCTGACCTCACTTTTTTCTTTTTTTTTTTTTTCTGCATTACACAGGGAATATGTGTTGTCCATAACTTTAAAGGCACTCATGGAGCTCCTTCTAAACCGAAGCCTGAAGACCCACGAGGAATGCCACTAATGGCCTTTCCAAGAGTGGAAAGTCCTCTGGAAACATTGAGTGCACAGGTAATATAAATCCTCTCACCCAGACCATCATCAGCACATTTTCTGCTATGGCAGAGTAAAAACTAGTTGTAGACATAACTACACAGGGAGCTGTTTTTATTCATAACATTAAGCCCATTGTACAGAGTGAATGTGCATCAGGGGAGAGTTTGTTCTAAGGCATTTATCTCTTAAACTACCAAATAATGTAGATCTTCTGCCCCTGTGCACATCCAAAGCTAAAGCGGTAGGATTTCACATGCCTCTGCATATCATTTGTGATAACAAACTTTTGCTTAGAAGAATGGAAAACTGAGAGAAAAGTAAAGGTAATTCTGTCTAATTATACTTTGGAATGCTTTTGGGATTTACTATAGCATTCGTAATCCTGGGGATATACTATGCTGTCCAAAAGAATATTATAGAGATTAGGTTTTTTTATCCTGATTACTCTTCAGTATCTTCTATAAGAAGAAGAAAACACATACTGTGTTCTATCTCTTAAGTTGTCAGAAGAGAAGCTAAAAGCATGTTTTTAAGTTTGCAAAAAAAATAGGCTAGCGGGAGCATCATCAATGGTGTTTCTGTTGAACTACTAACTTCAAATGGCTTATGTTGGCATAATTGAAGCAGACCCAGTCCTTTCAAAACACACAAATGTCACCTGACAAGAATTTCTGTGAGCAAGGCTGAACTGTAGTTTATCAGTTCTCTGAAATGTCCTGCTGTAATTTCTTTGTTCTTTAAATTGTACTTCTTGTGCTAGATGGCCTTTCGTTCCTGTGTATATGGTGTGTGGCAGGATCATTAATAACTTTTTTAAAACCCTTTGACAAATAAACTGATAATAGGAATTTAAAAATGGAAAAGACAGTATTTCTAATGCCTGGGGATATTTTGCTTAATTGGAAAGTCGCTTTTGATTAGCAAAGATTTGCTGGAAGACTTTCAACTAAATCTGCAGAACTGTGTGCATTAACTGTTCTCTTGGTGGACCTGCAGTGGGGAAACCAAGTGCTACTTACATATCCACGTTGCATTGTGTTTGACAAAAGGGCTGAACAGGTTAAAATATTAGTAGACTGTGAGAAAAATTTTGTCTAGTCAGCTGTTTATAGCTTATGGACTGTGAAGTGCAGGTAGGGACTGGGCCTTATCTGCTGATGTCCACTATAATCAGCAAGGTTATCTTCTCTGATTCAAGTATCAGTCTCTAAATGACCATACATCTACTGTGCAGGAGTAGATTGGCAGAAAAGTGATCCTACTCTGAAGCTACTATAAGCAAGTCCTTGGGAGTGGCTGCTCATTACTGTTTCTTCAGATATAGGAGGGGCATCATCATTCTCTGTGCAGGTTTCTGCATCCATTCCCCTCTTGTTTTGCCTTGCACCCACACAAACCCTGCAGCATGATCCAAGGACAATGCTGTACTGCCACTGAAGTGCTAGACGTTGGCTTCCAAGAAGGTTAAATCATAGAATCATAGAAGGCCTGGGTTGAAAAGGACCTTAAAGATCATCTAGTTTCAATCCCCCTGCTCTTTCCACCTAAAGAGGACTTCTGCATTGCTATATATCTGTGGCTGCATGTGTTTTGGCACAATGACCCCACCTCTGTGTGGTTTTAAGCTCTATATGTTCCCTAGGATCAGACTGTGTAGGATCTACATGCACACATCACAAGAAGCCAAGCCATGGTCTTTTAGGCTCTTCATGACTGAGGACAGACTCACTGTATTAGTTACGTGGCTGTATGAAGTGCTTTAGCCTGTACTGACACGTCTCTCTGGACAGAATATGGTCCAGTTTGAAAGTTTCCACTGAAAAAGTGGTATCTTGTTTTTCAAGCCTGTTCATGAGAGTGTTCATAGCCCAGCAGCAGGGCTTGAGTTCAGCATTTCCCACCATGAACTCAGGATAGACAGCTGTCACGTTTGCAGTGATCTCTTCATTTTAAAGCCCTAGATTAGCTGGGTAACAGATTTTATTAATGAAGGTTTTTCTCACTCATTTTACACACTAGGATATGTAAATGTATACAGATGTTCACGTTTGCCTTTTCCTCTTTGCAGAATCACTCTGCTTCTATGACTGAAGTAACCTGAGATGGAAGACTGGCAACAGAAGCTATTTTTTATTACCCTCCAGTACAACTCTCCAAGACACACAGTTACTAAATGTCTAACTGTGATGACCAGTATTATGTTATGTCTAGTTAGAGGCTAATGTTTTGTACTTTTTCTGTATGAGGAAGTGATGTAGCTTGCCCTGACTTTTTGTTAGCTTTAATATTATTATGCCAGAATTTAAAAGCAGAATGGAAAAAAGAAAAAAAAAACTTCTCATGTTTAAAATGTGCACTGAGGAACTACATCTATGGAATTGTTGATGTTGTTATGTGATATTTGTACACTATTTTTTTTTCATTTTTGAATTTATATATCTTGGGGGGAAAAAAAATCACTTTTACCTTTTCTTACCATAAGAAGTGCTTCTACCAGTGGGTCAGATTCTGATCTGAGTACGCTCAGCATAGATCTGAAATAATTGCATATATTTAACTCTGATTAAAATAATGGTGATCAGGAATCTAACCCAAATGATATTATCAACAAGTAATAAACATCCATCCTTGATTCAGTGAGCTACTTAAGCATTCCTTAGCATTACGGGCTTCGGTTAGCCATCCGGTTTCCAGACAGCTTGGCAGACTTGAAGTATATCCTTAAGCATCTTACTGAATCAAAGCCTGATTGTTCTGGTGTGAGTGATTGTGCTAGTTATTGAAGAATAACGAAAACAACATACTCAGTCTGCAATACAGACAGACTGGACATGAAAATTTATAGTAGTAGCTGATAGCATGTGAGCTGACTATATCATCTCCCTAGAACTCTGTTCCTCCCCAAGGCGCAGCTAAAGCTCCCGGTGAAACCTGGCTTCAGGAAACGACTATGGGGATATACAGCCACCACCTTGGAGCTGAGGCTGCGCTTTAAGTGTTTCATAACTTCATCATAGATTTGTGGGGTAATTAGTAGCACTGGTGCAAAGCAAAAATGACGTCACTTCTTCAGTTGGAGTGGCATTACTTGGCATTCAGATTGGCAAAACCAAGAAGCCAATTTTGCCCCAACAGTGTAGTTTTCACTGAGGTGCTTTGGCAAGTCAAAAAAAATAAAAGAAAAAAAAAAAAAAGAAAACCAAACTGACAGTCTTGTAGTAGCAGTCTGCATTTTTGTAAATTCTGACATACAGAATTTATATTAAAACTGCTATTTTACAATTTAACAACTTTGTTTAAGGAATAAAAACACAAATTAAGTGTGGGCAGGGGTTGGGGAGAAGAGCAAAAAAGAGCCCGATTACAATGGCTAGAACCAGGGCAAAGGCTTCATTACATGACTTTTCACTGTTTCTAGGATTTTCCTGCATCTCATTCTTCTAGCATAGTGATAACTGCTGTGTGTCTCCCTTAAAGAGTGGAGCCTCTGTCTGTACTTTTACTGGAATGTTGACCTCACATTTCCATGTTGGTTCTTTTGGCTTTTGTATATTTTTTCCAAAACAGATGCAAAAATAATTATCAAAAAACCAAAATATGTAGCCTCATCTCTTTCTTTCCCTGTGACACAAAGAAAACTTGGGAAGTCTGTTTGTGTCTGGTCTTGGGGTGTTTCTTCCAGGCTGGTATTTTCTTCTGACTCCACTGGTATCTGCTTCAGTCTTAGGAATATAAGAATCCAACTCAAGCCATGCGGGCTTTCTGTGACCATGAAGAACCACTGATAGCGTTCTGCATCCTGCACTACATCCACAGGGAAAATTTCTGCTGAATAAACTTGCCTGTGGAACCAGTCCTTGTTCTGTGTTAGCAGAATAATGCTGTGTTAGGAAAGCTTGTCAGCAATGAATACTCCCTTCAATATGCCCAGTCAGCAGCACCAAAGTCCACTCATACTGCAAACGGTTAGCACAGTGTTGAATTCAAAGATAAAAACTTCATATTTTGTAGCCTAGTGTTTGCAGCTGTGGTCCCAGGGGTTGTGTTCCTCCCAAGAGTGCTGTTACCACAGCATGATTCTTGCATTCTTGGTCAATAGCTTCCACAGAATTTGTAGTGATGTTGTCCCGCTCTGCTTAGCCTCTAGCGTGATGGCATGGGCAGTCTCTCTGAAGGTGGAAGATGTGGTTTTGAGTTTCTTCGCCATCCTCTAGGTTGAAGAAGGACTTGAATCTCAGTTTTTCCACTTCCTGAAGGACTGTTTCATCCTTCCAGTTGTAGTGCAACATGGCAAGGGGCACCTCTCTCAACTATGAAATAAGCAAGTGAGCCCTGCTGTCTTCTCTGACATGGTACATAGGGATGCCGGCACCCGTGAGAGGTCTGCGGGTAGATGCATATCCACAGGGGCATGCATGCTTCTTTGCAAGTGCCTAAGTTCTGGATGCCTGGTCAGATGAAGTTAGACCTATTACTCATGTTCACTGCATTTCCTCTTGGCTAGCTCTGTGTGTTTGCTACCATGTTGTAGTACCCTCAGCCTTTTCCAGTTGACAGATAAACCCCTGCACAGGAAATCTAAACCTAACAGGACATTTGCTTTTCCCAGGTACCTTTCCCTTCAGGAGCAATGCGTGTCCATCTCCTGGAATCTGTGACACTGAACAATCAGTCTGTAGGTAGCCTTTGGACTTTTTTTTTTTAATAGTTCCTGTTCTGAGGCACATTGTTTCCTACGTGCTGTGTACAGTGAGCTTAGGGAACTAACAGCGGCTTCTACAGTCCAGTGTTATGACCAGCTGTGTAAAATAAATGCATTGCAGTGGATCATCTCTTAAGACAGATGTATGGCCCTCGAGCTGTGTGCAGTTGTATGCACTTCAGGTATGAAGCTGGCCTATGTAACCTGACTGGCAGCAGTGTCTGGCCCCCCTCCCTGAGGGGGGGACCTGGCTGGGTGGCTGTGGCCTCTCTGTGCCCCTACAGCTAAAGGTATCCCTGCGGAGCTGCTGTTCTTGCTCCTCTTGAGCCTCTTGGCTGTGCAAAGGCTCTGGAACATGACTCTTGGGATCAGGAAAACCATCTGCCCCCAACTTAATCAGGTACCTGTACTGAGGGAAAACTGGCACATCTCATCAAAACCACAGGTCAGCCTTAGAAATAAAATGTTCATCCTTCCCCAGATTTGAACAGGCAGACTCTGCAGACATGCTGGTGTGGGATGGCCTCCCTCAGCTGTCTCTACACGTGCAGGAGGCTCTTCGTAGTATACTGGGGCTTTCTCTCATTCACAGAGACGCCCGTCCACCCCAGTCTCCAATCTCTCTGTTAAGAAATACCCTCCTAACCTGGTTTCTTTACACTTTCTTTTGATCTTTAGTTCTGCCTAAAACAAAGATCAGCCCTCCTGCAAATGCAAGGGAGGGGCTTCTATTTATTTATAATTAAATAGAAATTAGGTACTTTTGAAAGCTCAAGGATAAAGACAGTGTTCAAGCGCTTAGAAGTCTTAGCCCTTCCGTGACACAGGTGTTCTACTCAAGACTTTTACCTAATTTCAGACTTCTGTTTTTCCAACTTGTTACAAGCAATTAAAAGTTTTGCATCTCAAATACCCATGTCTGAGGTTTGCATCCAGAGGGACTAAAGTATTTGGGATAAGGGAAGTCTCAATTTGACACAGCTCACAGCAAAACAGAAGACGAGGCTGCTGTCATGCTCTTTTCTTGCCTATCTTCTTATTTTTCAGTTTTCTGCATTCCACTCTCTTTTGATCACATTACATGAGCTATGAAAGTTACATATTGGGAGAGACACAGAAAGGGGGAGGAGCAGAAAGTGCAACTACTACTGGAAGTGGTTTTTTAGATAATTAACACTGAGTAAAGGAGGAGGCTTAAGTATCTCTTCTTTGATGGAAAGAAGACATAATTTCATTAAAAAAAAAACTTCAGATTAATTGCTCACAAACAGCTCCAGAAACAGACAAGATGACACAGATTTAACTATTTATCACACTGTGTTTTTCCATCAACTACAGGGATTTGTTAACAGCCTTCCACAGTAACCAGTGAAACATCCCCAGTTCCCTCACATTCACGCCACAATGGAACATGCAGAAGCACACCTACACTATTCTGTGACTCCCCAGGACTCAAAAAGATAAAAGAACGGGTTTCTTAAATTTCTTCAGAGCTATGAGAAGAAAGCAGCACTTGAGAAGTTTCCCGAACAAAGAAACTGAGCACTGTAGCACACAAAAGCAGCAGTTCCTAAGCATGCTGCAAGTATTTTTATGCCAAAAGAAACCAATGGAGCTAGGGTGCAGGAGAACAAGTGGTATAACCACGGTATTTCTGGATCATTCCCAGAAATCGCACACATACAGAATCTAACCTCACTATAAACAACCTTTGTACAAAACATCCACAAAGTACCAGGCATTTCTCAGGCTGCTGCAGATTTTTTATTTTCCTTGTCTGCCTGACTTCACTGCTTGCCTCCTCTGATTAAAAGCAAACTTGCATAATCAGGAAGAAAAATCAATGTATAAATATTATATATCTTTCTATAGCTACATAAAAACATTTAAGAAAGAACTAACAAATAGCTAGCAGAAGGATCAACAGAACTTCTACAAATGCGGTCCTTCAACAAACATGGGAGAATTCTACAAGCTGCCTTGACTGCACCAGGTTTTTTTAGGGCTGTTGGAGAGCTGACCGTTACAGAGTTAAGAGATTTCAGAACTCCACTTGTCACCATCTTCATGTAGCAATTCTGAGTAGAACAAGTGGTTTTATTTAAGATGGCACTCATGATGGCTTTTCAAAACTTTATTGCTGACAGGGTCCTCCTTTCAATCTCAAGAAAAAAAAAAAAAAGACAAAAGAAAAAAAGATGCTGGCTTACCTCCCCTTCCCTCCCTGAGAGTTTGCTGGCTCAGCTAGTCTTGCTGACCAAGGTGAACAGGGCTCCTGACATAGCCAAGCTGCACTCACAAAAGTCTATTACACAGTTAAGAACCAAAGACAAGAAGTTTACAAGGTGCAGGAAATCAAGCGGTGTGTTGGTCCCCCCTGTTTATCCCCACAGGACACTGTAACAGTTGGGCAGCATGGTAAAGGCCAGAAAGCATACCTTAGCGCTGTTACTGACTACACTGCATCAGTTTCACAAAGAGAACTTCTGCTCTTTTTCACCTGTATAATAAACAGAAACAATGAAGCCTGAAGACAATCAATGAACTTTTATTAGTGACATTTATATATTTGGTCAGTACCACAAGGACAGGGCTCTGCTTCTGTTCTGCAG